AGATATTTACATGACAATTCATAACAGTAGCAAAATTACAGTTATGAAGTAGCAATGAAAATAAAGTTCTCGTTGGAGGTCACCACCACATAAGGAACTGTATTAAGGGGCCGCGGCATTAGGAAGGTTGAGAAACACTGGGTTAGACAATAGTATCATCAGGGCCAGGGCTGCCCCATGGTCTAGCCGTCTGGACAATTGCTGACCTCTTTGTGTGTCTTCCAGAAATCTCTGGAGTTTCTGCTTTGGATTATATTGCAATGTGCAGAACTCCCTCTCTCCCCAAAGAGGGGGGTTTCGTGGCACGCATCCACCGCTGTGATTCCCATTGTGCAGAAAGTTGTTTCTGAATTGAAACCGTATGGCTGTGAACGATTGTGTGCAGAGAAAGCACCTCTTCCCCTCCTCGTTCTCTCCGCGAGTGTCCCTTTCACTCGCACGTCATGCCATGCTCTGCTCTGTATGAATTTAATTTTATGCTGTATTAGCACTCAGCACTTGACAAATGTTAACTCCATCGGAAAAGATGACAGCCGGGAGTGACACCGTGGCAAAGCAAGACGGACGTGGGGCAGCATTGTGGGGAGCGATGGGATCTGTGGCGAGGCTGGCATTTGTGTTGCAGGGTTCACAGGCAAGGGGTGAGGTACTACATATTGAGAGGGAGCATCACCTTATGTGCCTGACAGCATTGTGCCAGTGAAGTCCAACAGGGCATAAGCAAAATGCAATGGACACTGGTGTCCAAGACCCATCAACAGCCATGCATTATAGTACTTAGCTGTTGGAAGGTGTTGCATTATCCTTTTCTTTATGACAGATGGAGCTTGGTCTCGATGACCTTTTGAAGTCCCAAGTCTAGAATCCTATGATATATATGAACAATTTCCCCTGACCTTCTTCCTATGGACTTGTAGCAATGCAACTTGGCCCAGTCCTGAGTCCTTCTCCTCTCCATGGGTGCCACTTTGGGGCAGACATGTCTCCCATCTTTTTAAGCAACTGTCAATGCCTTGCTTGTAGAAATTGACAGGTTGCTCCAAAAGCCATGTTGTAACTTCAGAAATCAGAGTCTCATCATCTGAAAGAACTTCCTTGTTGGAAAGAGGTGGAAATCTGATGGTGCAAGGTCGGGGGAATCAGGGGGATGCAGTAGATTTCAAAGCCACCAGAGCATGCTTTTTCCATCTGGGCAACAGGTGAGTTGTGAACGGGTGCATTGTTTTGCAGAAGGCAGACACCTTTGGTGAGCATGCCACATTGTCTCTTGGTTTTGATGGCTTCCCGCAAAGTCCACAGCAGTGAAGCCTAGTCTGCCCCAGTCACCATGGTCCCCCTTGCTAGGAAATCTATCTATATTACTTCATGATGGTCCCAAAATACTGTGATCATCACCTTGCCTGCCAAAAGTTAGGCACATGCCTTCTTTGGAGGCCGTGAGTCAGGATGCTCCCATTGCATCAACTGGAGTTTAGTCTCAGGATCCTAGTGATGGACCCAGGTTTCCTCCTGTGTGATCAGTCTGTAGAAAAAGTCCTCCTGGTTTCCATGGCACATCATTATCAAGAGAACCTGAGAGCATTTGGCTCATTCCTGCTTCTGGAAAGGTGTGAGCACCTGGGAGACGAGCGAGCGGATGCCTTATGCATAGGAAGATGGTCTTGGGTGATTTTTTTAATGCGGATCCCACACTCATCTTGACATTTTGGGCTACGCGGTGAATGGTTATGGGGCGATTTTCCAAAATGGCTACCTCCATTTGCTGGGTGTTGTGCTCATCCATAGCAGAGTGGGGTCACCCTGGAATTGGAGCTGTTTACACTGAAGTCCAACCACATTGGAATGGATGATGCCAGTTCTTGACTCCTTCATATGTTGGGGAATCATCACTAGAAACCTCTTTCATCTCATCGAACGTCTTCTTTGGTGTGCAGCATTTCAAGGAAAGGAACCGGAGGACTGCTCTCTATTCCGCTGGGTCCATTCTCAAACCTCACACCACTTCAGCACCTGTCACATCAAGAACGTTCTCAGTTCTGGGTTGTAAATTGTCACATAACCTATAGAGGCTTATATCATGAGGCATGTGCAGTTTTAGCATCCTGTGATAAATAGAAGTGGGTCATGGGAAATCTTTAATGAATGCCCCTCATATCTGTCTTTCTCAGTCATGTCTATCTATGTACAGTTGGATGGCCATCTGTCGGGAGGGCTGGGGTGGTGCTATCTGCCTGGCAGAAGGAGGTTGGACTGGATATCCCCTGATTTTCTTTTTAACTCTATGATTCTGAGTCCACTTCTCAGGGGTGCATTGACTGGGAATTGCCTGTCTGGCAAGGGTGGGCTAGATGGCCTTTGGGGGTCCCTTTGGTGATCCATTCTCTCTGCAGTACTGAGAGGAAGAATAATGTATCACTCAGCTTTCTTTTTCTTTTAGAAGAAGCCATTTTAATGTGAGGTCTACCTATTTGTACACCCCATTAAGATGGTGTCTGGTGCATTCCTCTGCCCCTTCCTTTCAAGATGTATTTGTGCCAAGAGACAGCCTTGGCATGGAGGCTGTGTTTGGGGCATATTGGTGACCATGTACACGAGGGGGGCATTCAAAGGGGCTCTCAAAGCAGACCCCAGAATAGATAAGGCTTAGCAAAGGGAAGGGAAAAGACATTGCTGGGCTATGGGCTCCTTTTTGCCTTCCATTGGGAAATCCTTGTGGCATCGACTCCTCTCCTGCCTTGCCCTCGGATTTCGTTCTGTTGGATTTCACAATGAAGTTCCAACCTGTGCTTCTTTTAGTGATGCAAACCCTTGGCTTTTCATCTTGTTGGCAAGACACTGTGATATTCCTCTCCCTATTTGGAGAGAATCCTTGCATTTGTGAGAATGGTTTCAGCCCGTGTTGCTTGCTGCATGTATTTTTTTGAAATGAGAAGTACCTGGTGGGTTGCGCATACCTTTGTGCGCATGTGGGAGCATGCACACATCAAATGGGGAAGGATGAGAGTTGTGTGCAGGGACGCTTTCGTGCAAATTGCAAAGAATTCCATGAGGAAAGGGCTCCCTGTCTCCTTATTATTGTGCCGAAGGCAAAGGCTCCCACCGAGGCGAGCCGTTCTCCCCTCGTCTTGACACACCATTCGTGCAAAGAACGAAACATGTTACAAATGCTCATCCTATTCCCAGTGCATTCTCAATTGGGATTTTTTCTGTTGTGATTCTTCTTGTGTGACTCAACCTAATTATATTTTGCTAAAGGGCACCTGGAGTCAATTCAAAATACCTACTTTGTTACCACACAAAGCTCCATAGGAAACAAAACCACCTGCAATTTATTTTCACTCAAGTCCCAAACTGGGAGGATTCTCACTCACTCTCCAGACCTTTTTAAAGAATCTATGCATTTATTATTATTTTTCAGCAATATATGCCTCATTATACAATTAATAAAGCCAATATATGGCTTATATCACATATACGTCCCATCTTCCCCTGAAAATAATAACCACAAAATAATAATTAAAATTAACTTATCACCTCAAAGATGTATGATGAAAATACTATTGTCATACTGCTAACAGAGAGTTTCATCAATGCTGACGATCATGCCATCACCACTCAAGCAGAGAGCATTGAAATGGTGGAACAGAAACTCTCTGAAGCTTTAGATGCTTTTACTGCCTATTACAGGGAAAACCAGCTGATTCCTAATCCATTTAAAACACAGGCATGTGCTTTTCACCTTAAGAACAGACAAGCTCTGAGGATGACCTGGTAAGGAATACCGTTGGAGCATTGCAGCACACCAAAATACCCGAGAGTCTGACTTATAAGAAGCACTGCTTAAATATCAAGCAAAAAGTGGGTGCTAGAAATAGTATTGTACAAAAGCTGACTGGCACAACCTGGGGGTCACAACCAGAGACAGTGAAGACATCTGCCTTTACGCTTGCTACTCTGCTGCTGAGTACGCATGCCCAGTGTGGAATACACCTCACTATGCTAAAACAGTGGATGTGACTCTTAATGAGATATACCGCATTATCACAGGATGTCTACACCCACCACTAATTGATACATTATACTGCTTAACTGGTATTGCACCACCTGATATCCATCGGGAAGTAGCAGGCAGCAATGAAAGGACCAAGGCAGTGACATCTCCGGCCCATTCTCTGTTTGGATATCAGCCATCACACCAATGCATTAAATCAAGAAACAGCTTCCTAAGGTCTACAGAGATACTTGCAGGAACACCTCAGCAAGCAAGAGTCCAAAAGTGGCAGGTGAAAACCTGGAACTTCAATTCATGGCTGATACCAAATGAGAGACTCTCTCCTGAGCACACAGAAGGCTGGACAACTTGGAAGGCACTGAACAGGCTGCGCTCTGTCACCACGAGATGCAGGGACAACTTTAAGAAATGGAGCCACAAAGTGGAGTCCACGACAGGCGAGTATGGAGAAGAGCAAACTACAGACGACTGACGACAATGCAATCTGAGACATGCCATATGCACAATGGAGGACCTTCTCAAAGCAACACCAAAGACACTCCAAGTGGTCAGCTTCAGGCCAAAAGAATTTTAGCATCATGCCAAGTTTGTAACTTTGTGTTTTTTAAAATACATTATAACTTTATTCTCATTTTGCTTCTGACACGATAAATAAATATATCTGAGTCCACACTGTCATATAATCCAGTTCAATGTGGATTCTATACAGCTGTATAGAAAGGGCCCAACTCTTCAGGTTCAGATCAATTATATCCAAGGATATTAAAAGAACTGGCAGAAGTCATTGCAGATTCTACTATTCTTATGATAGGAAGTTCCTAGATGTGTTTCATGTTTCCAACATACATTTTCAGTGTCCGGTTTGGTTGGAGTCAAACTGTGTGTCCTTTAGTAGGGATTCTCTTCCAGGTCAAAATGTGGGCTATCCTTTCATTCTTTTGACCATGTTGTCCTCCACCAATTCCTTTTTCCTGATTTCTTTATCCAGGGATGGACCCGGCGGCAGCCAGTGCCAAGAGCAACCACTGCCTGGACGCAGCCAAGGCCTGCAACCTGAACGACAACTGCAAGCGCATGCGCTCGGGCTACATCTCAGTCTGCAACAAGGAGGTCTCCTCAACTGAGCCCTGCAACCGGCGCAAGTGCCACAAGGCCCTGCGGCAGTTCTTTGACCGGGTGCCCATCGAGTACACCTACCGCCTGCTCTTCTGCGCTTGCAAGGACCAGGCCTGTGCCGAGCGCCGGAGGCAGACCATCGTCCCCCACTGCGCCTACGAGGAGCCCGAGCCCCCGAACTGCCTTGACCTCAGGAGCCAGTGCCGCCTGGACCCCCTCTGCAGGTAGGAAGTGGGGAAGGCCTTCCAGGATTGGGGATGGAGTGGTGGTTTGCACAGGAGACTCTGGGCTGGGGGCAAAGAGCTGGTCTTGTGGTGAGAAGAGCTGTTTGGCAGCAGAATGTGCTGCCGCCTGGAAGTCTGTTGGCATCTCCTTCTCTAGAGTCTGGATGGCCATCTGTTGGGAGGGTTCTGGTTGTGTTTTGCTTCAGGGCAGAAAGCGGTTGGACTGGATCATCTTTGGGAGTCTCTTCCAACTCTAGCATTGCATGATTCTATAAACAGAGGCTGGATGGTAATCTGTCAGGAGGGCTTTGGTTGTGTTTTCCTTCAGAGCAGGAGGTTGGACTGGATGGCCTTTGAGGGTCCCTTCCAACTCTAACATGCTTTGATTCTATAAATCAATGTATGTATTTTGTTTCGGCATCGAATTGTGCCGACTGTGTATACTGCCCTGAGTCGCCTTCGGGCTGAAATGGGTGGGATAGAAATAATGTAAATAAATAAATAAACAAACAAACAAACAAAGGCCAGATGGTCATCTGTCAGGAGGGCTTTGGTTGCATATTCCTTCAGAGCAGGAGGTTGGACTAGATGACCTTTGAGGGTCCCTTCCAACTCTAGCATGCTTTGATTCTACAAACAAAGGCCAGTTGGTCATCTGTCAGGAGGGCTTTGGTTGCATATTCCTTCAGAGCAGGAGGTTGGACTAGATGGCCTTTGAGGGTCCCTTCCAAGTCTAGCATGCTTTGATTCTATAAACAAAGGCCAGATGGTCATCTGTCAGGAGGGCTTTGGTTGCATTTTCCTTCAGAGCAGGAGGTTGGACTAGATGGCCTTTGAGGGTCCCTTCCAAGTCTAGCATGCTTTGATTCTATAAACAAAGGCCAGATGGTCATCTATCAGGAGGGCTTTGGTTGCATTTTCCTTCAGAGCAGGAGGTTGGACTAGATGGCCTTTGAGGGTCCCTTCCAAGTCTAGCATGCTTTGATTCTATAAACAAAGGCCAGATGGTCATCTGTCAGGAGGGCTTTGGTTGCATTTTCCTTCAGAGCAGGAGGTTGGACTAGATGGCCTTTGAGGGTCCCTTCCAACTCTAGCATGCTTTGATTCCATAAACAAAGGCCAGATAGCCAGCTGTCAGGAGGGCTTTGGTTGTGTCTTCCTTCAGAGCAGAAAGTTTGACTGGATGGCCTTTGGAGGTCCCTTCCAACTCTAGAATTCTATGATTCTATAAACAAAGGCTGGATGGTCATGTTTCAGGAGGGCTTTTGTTGTGCCTTTATTCAGAGCAGAAGAAAGTTGGACTAGATGGCCTTTGGGCGTCCCTTCCGACTCTAGTATTCTATAAACAAAAGCTGGGTGGCCATCTGTCAGGATGACTGGTTGTGTCTTCCTTCAGAGCAGAAGGAGGTTGGACTGGATGACCTTTAGGGGTCTCTATCAACGCTACAATTCTGTGGTTGTAAGGGTTTGTGCCTCGCTTCTGAGCTCTTCGAGATCCCTTTGGGCCCTTCTGTCACAGGGATCCTAGCCCTTCAATAGGCTTCAAACCCCCTCAATATATACAACCCGCTCTCCTTTCCGAACCCAGTATCTGTGCCCCAGTCTGCTCTTCCTTGACAGAGAATTCACAAAATATCTCTGGCAGGCGATGTGAGCATGTTCAGCGATTGCTCCTTGTTGCTGAGGTGTGTTACACTGCATTGATTTTGCATTAGAAACATCTTTAGCATTTCGAGATGCACATGTTCTTTCGCGTTATGCCTGTGTGATGAGAAATTTAACTGAGGATAAATGTGCATGCTTTTCCTCTTGCAAATACCGAAAACCAAACAAAGAATGTATACTCCAGGTACAACATTTGCAAACCTTGGTTCAGTGGCTTGAAGATCTCATTGCTTTGGCTACGCATGGATGTATTTTTATAGATGCCACTTGCAAGAAAATGGGCTTGTGGTTAACTTCTATTCGTACAGCGATTATCAGCATTTCTATTAGTGTGGCATTTCCCCACCTTTGGGGGGGGGGGTGTTGGGTGGGTCGCGAGGGGTCGCCAAAGACTATCAGAAAACATATATTTCTGATGGTCTTAGGAACCCCTTTGGCAGAGAAGGCTGAAGATCTCTCCGCCTGTCCTTCTCTTCCTTTACTAATATGCAGCTTGGCTCACTTGCTTGATCAACCCATCCCACCAAAAGCCCCACTCCACTGTGATTGGCTGGGCTCTCAACCAGCCTCTCAGCCAAGGGGAGGTACGTTTCTGAGATGTCAAGTGGGGAGGGGAGAGTAGGTGTGCTCAGCGCATGACAGCGTGGTGTGCATTTGTGGGCGAGGGAGAGCGTGTGAGGCTGGGCAAGTTGCACCAGCAAGTCCCTTCAAGGCATGGGCATTCTGTGTGGGAAGTTTGGCCCAATTCTGTCGTTGGTGGGGTTCAGAATGCTCTTTGATTGTAGGTGAACTATAAATCCCAGCAACTACAACTCCCAAATGTCAAGGTCTATTTTCCCCAAACTCCACCAGCGTTCACATTTGGGCATATTGAGTATTTGTGCCAAGTTTGGTCCAGATCCATCATTGTTTGAGTCCACAGTGCTCTCTGGATGTAGGTGAACTACAACTCCAAAACTCAAGGTCAATGCCCACCAAACCCTTCCAGTATTTTCTGTTGGTCATGGGAGTTCTGTGTGCCAAGTTTGGTTCAATTCCATTGTTGGTGGAGTTCAGAATGCTCTTTGATTGTAGGTTAACTATAAATCCCAGCAACTACAATTCCCAAATGACAAAATCAATCCCCAGCCCCACCAGTATTCAAATTTAGGTGTATCGGGTATTTGTGCCAAATTTGGTCCAGAGAATGAAAATACATCCTGCGTCAAATATTTACATCAGATATCTACATGACAATTCATAACAGTAGCAAAATTACAGTTATGAAGTAGCAATGAAAATAATGTTATGGTTGGGGGTCACAGCAACATGAGGAACTGTATTAAAGGGTCGCGGCATTAGGAAGGTTGAGAACACTGATTTAGAGCGATAGCAGTACATGTGGAAAAAGATCTTGGAGTCCTCGTAGACAACAAGTTAAACATGAGCCAACAATGTGATGTGGCAGCAAAAAAAGCCAATGGGATTTTGCCCTGCATCAATAGGAGCTAGTGTCTAGATCTAGGGAAGTCATGATACCCCTCTATTCTGCTTTGGTTAGACCACACCTGGAATACTGTGTCCATTTCTGGTCATCACAGTTCAAAAAAGATATTGCAAGCTGGAAGTGTCCAGAGGAGGGACTAAAATGATCAAGGGTCTGGAGAACAAGCCCTATGAGGAGCGGGTGTTTAGCCTGAAGAAGAGAAGGTGAGAGGAGACATGATAGCCAAATATGTGAGAGGAAGTCATGAGGGAGGAGGGAGCTTTTTCTGCTTCCCTGGAGACTAGGACGCGGAACAATGGCTTCAAACTACAAGAGAGGAGATTCCATCTGAACATTAGGAAGAACTTCCTGACTGTGAGAGCCATTCAGCAGTGGAACTCTCTTCCCCGGAGTGTGGTGGAGGCTCCTTCTTTGGAAGCTTTTAAACAGAGGCTGGATGGCCATCTGTCGGGGGTGATTTGAATGCAATTTTCCTGCTTCTTGGCATAGTTTTGGCCCATGAGGTCTCTTCCAACTTTATGATTCTATCTGTCAACACTAGCTTGGTGGTTTCAATTTTTGTATTGCAAAAAAAGTAAAGAGGGGAAGGGCAATATACACTCGTATTCAGTATATTGCTTTTCCTCTCTTCTCTTGTTGTCTCATTGTCCCAGTTTACTTGTCTGAATGTATCTCCCACTACGATCCACCTAGGGCCCTAAGATCATCTGAGGAGACCCTGCTCATTGTCCCCCCATTGTCACAATCACGTCTGGCGGGGACAAGGGACAGGGCCTTTTCTGTGGTGGCCCCCCGGCTGTGGAACTCCCTCCTGAGTGAAATTAGATCTGCTGCATCCCTCTTGACCTTCCGGAAACAAGTAAAATCCTGGCTATGGGATCAGGCCTTTGGAGAATAGGCTGACCTACTGACGTGTTGACTTATTTAGAACTGATGGACTGTCCTTGGATAATGATCTAAATCAGTGACCACTGACTATTTTATGTCTGTTTTTATATTGTTTATATGGTTTTATACTGTTTATACTGTTTTATATTGTTATTATTACATTGCTGTTAATTGTATATTTATGTTTTGATGTGGGCGCCATGGGGTGCCACTTTGTTAGCCGTCCTGAGTCCCTCTGCGGAGGTTGAGAAAGGACGGGATATAAAAGCCCTAAATCTATATAAATAAAAATGTAATGTTCGTTTGTGGGATTAACGTAACTCAAAAACCACTGGACGAATTGACACCAATTTGGACACAAGACACCTAACAACCCAATGTATGTCCTTCACTCAAAAAAAAAAATAGATTTTGTCATTTGGGAGTTGTAGTTGCTGGGATTTATAGTTCACCTACAATCAAAGAGCATTCTGAACCCCATCAACGATGGAATTGAACCAAACTTGGCACACAATTCTCCCATGACCAACAGAAAATACTGGAAGGGTTTGGTGGGCAGTGTCCTTTGGTTTTGGAGTTGTAGTTCACCTACATCCAGAGATCACTGTGGACTCAAACAATGATGGATCTGGACCAAACTCTACACGAATACTCCATATGCCCAAATGTGAACACTGGTGGAGTTTGGGGAAAATAGAATCTTGACATTTGGGAGTTGTAGTTGCTGGGATTTATAGTTCACCTACAATCACAGAGCATTCTGAACCCCACCAATGATAGAATTGGACCAAACTTCCCATACAGAACCCCCATGACCAACAGAAAATATTATATATTCTGATGGTTTTCGGCAACTCCTCTGACACCCCCTCATGACCCCCCCAGGGGTCCCGACCCCCAGGTTGAGAAACACTGCCCTAAATAATAATAATAATAATAATAATAATAATTGCTTTTTCTC